AAAAATCCGTCACAGAATAAAAAAGTAAAAACATATTAAAGGAATTTTAATAAAGTTTTAATAAAAATAATTTCCGTACAAATTAATAAAAAAAAAAATTAAGGAAAATTTAATAGGAAAATAAGAAATAATTCATATTTATATTTAGTTAAAGTTTTTGCAAAGAGAATTTGTTTAAAGATTTTTTTTGATTATGTTTTTGAGGAGGGATTATTATTAAGTTTTGACATTCTCATTAAAAGTAAATGTTATTTTAAATATATCAAACATGATGACAGGAGTTCAATACCAATTGAATGAAATGTATGTCATTTTAATTAAATATTATTACTAATTAGAAATAATTGTTAAATTGAGAATTCACTGTGTATTTAGCTAATCAATATATTAAGTTACACATCAAATGTGATTTAAATACTAATTAAGTAAATTCCCAAAAACCAACAAGAGAAGGCAATATGCCACTGTGACAAGTCATAATTTTATGACTGTCATAAATGTATATGTTGTGAATTGCTCAAATCTATGCTATATCATTTATACTATATTTCGTAAAACGGGCGTCCTAGACACCCATTTCATTTAATTTTATTTTATTTTATATCCGCCACAAAGAAGATGAATTCTTATACTGTGTCGTCGCTGTATATTTCATATCTTCTGGTTATAAATTTCTCAGAATCACTGGCAATCACTTCATTTAATTTACAGTAACATTTCTTTGAAAATGAAACGACGCTGATAAATAATTTTGCTGTCGTTTAAACTTATAAAAATAATTAATTTGAAACATCATCTTATATATTTATATTTATTTTTTAAATATATATTTTTATATTACACAAACTCAGTGGCGTTGCAATACGGATTAAGATATAGATGCGCATTCGACATGTATTTATAAATTAAACTGGTGCTGGATTGTACAATTCTAAAGAACATTTATTCCTCTTCTAGTAGAAGAGTTGTGATCTCATATTCTTCTCTTCAAAACTTATACCTGTAAAGTTACTTCTGAGTTTTGTAAGATTATAGTTCTAACTGAAGTACT